GCTGTGCTGCCAAACAGAAGACACATTGCCACCTGATCTGTCCAGATGTCAGTCTGCTGCTTCCTGCCACCTTCTTGTCTTGGTTCTTAGGAGGCCACAGTGCCCCTTTAACTGGTTACTCTGTGCCATGCATGGCATGTACATGCCAGGGTTGAGCCCCCTGTGTAAGCAGAGGGACAGGAACACAGGATGTCAGTGTCCATCATGATCCTGAAGCATGATGTCCTGTGTGCCAGGACCAGTCACCACAGAGGGCAAAGGGCTAAGGAGGTGCTGGGGTCAGGGAAGGGGTAGAGGCCCTGCAAGGACTTACAGGCAGGGAAGCACTCACTGGCAAAGAGAGCCTGCGGAACTAGGGCCTCCTGATGGCCTTTCTTCTTGCGTCTAGAAGATCCCCTCAAATGTACAAGGTGTTCCCTACCCCCACCGGAGAGTCACAGAGGCAGCATCAGGGGGGAGAGAGCACTGCCTGGGAGGCAGAAGGCCCAGGTTTTATTACAATAAACAGTAGCTATTATTAAATAATAATAGCTGGACAGGTAGTATGGGGCGCCATTCTCACCCACCCATGTGGGTTTCACAGCCATTTCCGGTGCAGCCATCCTGCTGCAGGTTTCCAGGACAGAGAACTCTGCAAGGAGCGCTGGGCAATGGCAGGGTAGGCTTCAGCCCCAACGGTAATCAAAGTCCGGGATCCAAGCCCACCCAGTCACCCCTTTGGCCACAAGGCAGATGCCAACCGCGGTGCTAGGCCCTCCCAGTCGACCAGACCTCTCTCATTCCCGCACATGGCCCCGCCCTTGTGTTATAGCCCCTCCTTCATGGTGGTGGTGGGGAGACCCTTCGCTCAGCCCCGCCTCCTGGCTTCAGCTCCTTCCAGTCCATTTTTTCCGGTCCACCTAGTTCAGACCAGGCTTAGGAGATACCTATATAAGTTGGCCCGACACGGAGGAGACCTCAAGTAGCGAGGGCAAGGCCTCTGGGAGAGGGGGCTCAGGCGCGGCCACCTAGGGGCTGCAGTGGTCCCTGCAGAGCGCACCCGCTGCCCCAGTGTATGGGCCATATCTGGAACCGTTCCCCGCCCGCATACGGGCGGGGCCGCTGTTTGTTTAGAGGGATGGGCTATACGGTAGGCGGTTCTCCGCAAATGAGCGGATCCGGGTGGGCCCGGCAGGCCTGAGTGGTCAGGTGCCCTGATGCCCCAAGCTCCGGGCTTTGCTCTCGCCATGGCCAAGCGGCGCAAGAGCTGGGGGGTCCATCTGGCCCGCCACCTGGCTGGGTTAGGGATCCGCAGGGAGCGCAGGGGGAAGCGGACCCCAGAGGAAGCCAGAGCCCGGGATAGGTGAGGGGATTGAGGGAGGGCCTCGTGGGGTGCCACTGGGCCCCAGGGTGAGAGTGTGTGTGTGTGTGTGTGTGTGTGTGTGTGTGTGTGTTAGAGTATAGGGGATATTCAAATAAACGTCTGTGAGTGTCTCGGAGCATACAAATGTGTCGATTTTGAATATGTGAATGTGAAAATGGTCTTTATAAAGTCCCTGTGCTTTTTTAAAACTTTAAAACAACTTTTGCGATTTCCTAAGCCAGGCTAGCTGCCTGTAGACCATGATTTCTTCTCTGGAGGAGACAGTTTTGAAGGCAAATGCAGTAGCTCCTTGCACCTCTGTGGACTTTGATTCTTACATCACAGGACAGCTTCCCTCTGGTCTTTCTGTCCTTTTGTCAGGAGTGTGACAAGTTCCTGAATTGTCTTAGGTTGCACTGCATTTGCCCTTAGATGCCACAGAGGTTTGCCCTGTCATCCCAGATTGTAATAACAATCAACCTTTATTTGGCACTTGCTTACTGCCTTACTTGAATGATCTCATTTAATCCTTAAAGCGGCTCTGTGAGACAGGTATTCCGTGTGATTCAGACGTGGAAATGGAGGTTCAGAGACGTCAAGTTGCCTGTCCAACATCACCACTGGGGAGTGGTGGAGCTGGAATACAAGCTTGAGCAGTCTGACTCCAGAGCTCACATCCTGAAGCCCTGGGCTGCTCTGTTGCCTTATAGAGACCATAGGACTGCAAGCCAGAGCTCTGTCCTAACCCTAGGTGTCCCTGGCTGTGTGGCCTTGAACAAATTACTTTAGCTCTCTGAGCCCATTCACTGGCCGCTGATGTTTGAGTGGAAGAAAAAAGACTTTGTGGGTGGCTGGGTCAAATGGCTGGGAGGGGGAATCGTGAAGAGGACCCCAATAGCTCCTGGGCCCTATATTCGAAAATAGCGTGAGGTGTTTGCGTGTCTGTGCAGTTATTCAGCCATTTGTTCTGATCTTATCATGACACAAAAGTCTTCAGCTCCCCCTGGGAGCAATGGGGGTTTGGTGGGGGCGGAGCAAGGGGAAGGGTTTGTACTGCCTTCTCACCCCAAAGAGAGGGGAGGGGAGGGCCTAGCCACCCTATGCTGGGAAGCCTGTGTGACCTGGGGGGGTGCCCACACCCTGCCAGTGCCTTGCCCTCCCCTGCTGGAAGACACGCCCTCTCCCTTTACCCTGTCTGGCAGGAACCTGCCCTATAGGCCCAGGTGGCACTGCCTCTCCCTTTCCCCACTTGAGAGGAGGTGGGGTTGGGGTGCAGGTGATTCAGAGGTGTGGAGGGAAGGGGAGGGACTGCGTAGGCTTCTGCACTAGCATGATGACACATCCCATGTCTGCACTTGGACTCAGTTCTCACCAGCCTGAGCACAGAGGCACAGGCCTCTGACTCCTCCTGATTTCCTGGGGTGAAGGTCAGCAGCACAGACAAGGCCACAGACGAGGCAGCCAAGGCACATCCTCATCTTGCCCCCCATTAGTGTGGTAACATCCAGCCAGCCTTTGAAGTGGGATGGTCCTAGTGCCTTAATTCCAAGGCTCATTAGCTATGTGACTCTAGGCAAACCACTTCACCTCTCTGGGCTTCAATTTCCTTAACTAAAAAATGGGGCACCAATATCCACCTCTTAGGATTATTGTGAGGCTTAAAGAAGATCGTGCAGGTGCAATACTTAGTGCTAAGCCTGGCACAGCAAATGGTGAGCTTTTGAATTATCGGGGCTCTGTACTTTTTCGGTGTCCTGGCCCTGATACAGGCCTAGTCCCACTTTTCTCCCAAGCCCATCCTGTCTCTTTCTCTGTCCTTGAGAGTGGAGTGGACAGTTAGGGGAGGGAGGAGAAAGAAGGCTGCTGCAGATTCCCCACCTTCCCCAAGTTTCAGGAACTCATCTGGCCTGTGGGCTCTGAGGGAGTTTGGGGGAGGACCACTGGGTCCAGTCTTTGGGTGGGAGAGGAAGAGACTACCTCACTCCCTTCCCCTTGTGCTTCCTTTCCAGGCCCTGGGGTGGCCAGAGCTGCCCCGACCTGGCCCAAGGCCAGAGCAGCACCAACAATGTCAGTCTCAAGGTAGGAGAGAATGCAAAGGAGAGGCAAGGAATGGGCAGAAGCTCTGGGAGGGGCAGACCCTGAGAACCCTGACTCATGATTCAGACAACTGGAGTTCTCTGGTCCTCCCTCTGCCACTGAGTCACAGGGGGACCCTGGGCAGATCACTCCTCATCTCTGAACCTCAGTTTCTCCTTCTGCAAAATGGAGACGATAATGCCTCTCAGAGCAGTTGTGAGAAATGAGGTAATGGATGTAGAACATCCAATGTGGGTTTAGATGCTCAGGAAACATGAGCTTCCTAACACCTGGTCCCTGGGGAGGCATGTAGGGTCTGCACCTGTTCCCAGAACCCCCTTTCCCACACTTCCTGCTTTACCTTGGCCTCCTCCCATCTTTGGTTCCTTTTCCCCACTTTTTGGCATGGACCCCTTGGGATGATGCTGGGCCAGAGGTCCATATCTCCTAGACACTTAATCTTCTGGCCACGGTCTTCCCATCTGAGCCATGGGTTGGGCAGTACTGAGTGTCCTCCCCTAGAGATGGTTCGGGCAGCTGTGTGTCTCTCTGCGGTCCTGAGTACCATTCTTAATTACTAGTGCTTAATTGAGTACTTATTATTTTCTGGTGCTCTGCATGGATTATCTCATGAAATCTTTACAGCACTCTCAGAAAGCAGATACTGTTATTATCATGCCAGTTTTATACATAGAGAATCTAAGATACGAGAGGTATTGCAGCTAGGAAGTAGCAAAGCTAGGGTTCAAGCCCAGTTGCCACCTCCAGGCCCCACACCAATCACTCTGCCCTCCTGGCTCTTGAGGTGTTCAGCCCCTGGTGAAGGAGAGGCTGCATCTATTCATAGATGAGTAAATTGAGGTATTTGGGATCAACGGTTCCTGCTAAAAGGGATTTTTGACCTCAGACTTGGCTGCTCTGTTGCCAAGAGCATAAACCCATCCTCAAAAACTGGTGGTTTTGGGAGAGAGAGGGCAGCGTCCATATGGGTCTGGTATCCTGGGCCCTGTCCCCTGACCCCCACAGCCAAACTTGGCTCCAATGGAAGACAACAGACACAGGTCAGGTTTGTCCCAATTTCAGGGAAACCCTCTTCCCCGACTCCCTCACGTCCCAGGAACATCGTATGCCCAGGTGTGCCTGGGAATCTCAAGTGGGAGGGTACTGGGGAAGTGGCTGCAGGCTCTCTGGAACCCTGGAGTGAACAGAGGCCATGGGCACTTGTGGAAGACATGCCCACGAAGCCCCTAATCCCCGGGGAAGCTGATTCCAAAGGAGCAGAGACCTGGGGGTCTTGGGAAAGCAGCAGTTGTCCTGAGAGTTGGGCCCTCACTTGTGACATTATTCATGTCTGTGTCCTCTCTGGGTCTCCCTTTTCTCATATGTAAAATGGGAGGGGGTGAGTTAAATGCTGAGGGGCTTTCCCAGAGCTCTGCCCCTTCATCCAGCTCATGGTCCTGGCAGCATCTCCTTAGGGAAGCTGTGCTTCTCCTGTGCCAAGGAGGGCAGTCAAGGGTGATTAGGGTGCCTGGAGGGCAGGGGGAAGATGCTGTCACCAGGCCCTGCCTCTGTTTTCCCTCAGACCCAAGCCAAGAGCCGCTCAGAGTGGGACCTTCAGGATGGGAGCCAGGGTTCCTGGCTTTGGAAGCGAAGACACAGCTCAGGGGGGCCTGCTCAGCCCCTGGGGCGCCTACAGAGGCCAGCTGTGGGCAGCGCTTCTGACATGGCCAACTATGCCTCCATGGACCTGGAGAGCCCAGCACTGGCAGCAGACCCTGATGGTCCCAGGTGCCCCTCATGCCCAGTGCAAGCTCCTGGACATTTGGAACAGGGAACCCCAGACTGCCTTTGTTTGCAACCCCCATACATGGCCCCAGATATCCCTCTGAATCCTGAGCCACCTGGCAACGTGAAAAACATGATGCCCCGCCCAGCATCCTTCCTCAAGGCAGAGGGGACAAAGGGCAAGCCTGCTACCCCAGAGCCAGCACTGCCAGAAGCAGCCCAGATCCTGCCTGAGCGTCCTTCTGCCAGGAGGACCCGCTACCACATCACTGTCATCCTGCAGGGGCGTGGGCAGACTCCTGGGGAAGAGGGTGAGGAGCCCAAACCGGCCCAACAAGCTCTCCACCCCTTCTGCCCTGAGGAATTCAGGGGCTGGCAAAATCCTCTCCAGGGGCCCCGCCCCATCACGGGGTGCCCAACTGACCCACCCCAGGAGTCCGGGCTAAAAGCCTCACGGCATCAGAAAAGCTCAGCCCAGCAGCAGGAACTCCAGGCCCCCTGGACACCTGGGTCCCCACACAGACGGTGAGTACAGGTTGGTCCCCATGTGGGGTGGTGGTGGGAGGAGAAACTGGCCTGGCTGCCCTTTCTGGGGTCTCTGCCTCATCTCCAGACTTTCTCAACTTCAGGCCCATTCATTCAGCTCCCTGGGCATGAACTGACTCTGCCATCTCCCCCACAACTTGCCTTCCTTTCACTCTCCTCATCCACACTCACATTCCTGGTCCTGGAACCCACTGCTGCTCCTGTCCCCTGTCCACCTGAGGAGAGAAAGAGGATGGGGGAGGGGTCACCTCCTCAGCAACACCCACCACTCTCTGGTTCTGTTCAGGAGACCACAGAACCCACCTGGGAATAGTCAAGCTGCTGGGTGTCCTGGGGCAAGTTGCTTAACCAATCTGGTCTTAGAGTTGTTGAGTAGATTTGGTAACAGGAGATGAGGTGGTTACAGGATTATGCTTTGAACTCCAGAGAGTTGTGCTGCCCAAATAGCAGAGATGCTTATTAATAACACCTCAGGTGCAGCAATAATTACCCACCTGGCTCTGTGTCAGTGACCAGAGCAATAGACACTGAGATTCCCAATCTTTTTTGATTCTTATTTGTATTGAAATAACTCTCCCATCCCTGCTTAGTGGGCTCAGAGATGAAAGGGTGGGTTCCCTAAAACTCATCTGGAAAGGGGTGAACATGGCATCTCTCTAGGACCACCAGGAAGGGGCACTGGGCCTCAGACAGGGCTCTGAAAAGTTCCTAATGATGATGGTTGTGGCTGGGTCATTTACGGTTTTCTAAACATAATCCTACTTTACCCTCACAACAGCCCCATGGAATAGTGCTCTGTACCCCAGGCCCCAATTACAGTAGAGAAACTAAGGCTCAGAGAGGTTACATCACTTGCCCAAAGTCAACCAGAAAGTGAAGGGGCCAGAATTTGGACATGAGTGCCTGTGCTCTAACCACTTCTCTATCCTGCCTCTCATAGAGACTCTAGGCACACAGTGGAGGGTGGAGTGTGGTTGTGCAAACTGCAGGGTTTTCCCTGACCCTGTGGAGGTGGGTTTGGTGGCACTGTGCTAGCAGAAGCAGCATCAGGGTACCCATGCCTCTGGGCAGGAGTCACGGTGCCTGGTCCTGTGGCAGGGAAGAGGGAGATGTGGGACCTCGGCCGGCTTGGAGGTCTGCTCGGGTGTTGCAGCTGGAAGAGAAGGGCTGCAGACAGGGAAGGAGGTGGAGGAAGCAGGCCTGGAGAGAGGGCGGAAGCAGCAGTAGGGTTATTTGGGGGGACTGGGTCTGTGTCCGCCACTCCCTGGCTATTTTGGGCCCAGGTAAATAATGACAGACTCTGGCGGGAGGCTAGGGCTCACTCAGAGAGGAGGAGGTGGACCTCCAGGGACAGCATCCTTCTATGTCCCCAGGGTTCCCGGGCTGGCATTGGCAAATAATAGGGGTGGAGATGTGTGACCCAGTTGGGTCCGCAAGTGGGAATGTGTATGCATTCAAGGGGGGGTGTCCATGTTCAAGTATGGGTGAATTTCAAGAAGAGGAACTTGGGGCTATGAATTGACTATGTGCATGTATCATGAATGTGTGCTTGTGTCATTGTGTCTGTGTGTTTCTGTGTGTCTGTGACTTGTGTGTTGCTGTGTCTCTGTAGCTCTGACTCTGTGTGTTGGTGGGTCTGACTGTGTAAGTCAGCATAATGGTCTGGGTGTGTTTTGGTGCGTGTGCTACTCTGTGGGCCTGTGCTGGTGTCTGTGTGTGTGTCAGTGCATGCCGGTGTGACACGGTGTGTGTTTGTGGGCATGTGGACCTGTAGACTGGTGTGGCTCAGTCTGTGGGTGACTCACAGTAAGCGAGGAGAATCCAGGACTTGTTGGGTTAGAAAGGCTCTTTCCCACACTTCCCCCGCCCCTTCCTCAGCCTCTCCCTTCCACACACCTTGTTTGGAGGTCACAGGTTACCCTGCCAACAAATCCACTTCTGATATGGGGCCCTGGGAGGGCTCTAAGAATGGGCACTTTTCCTGGCCTATGAAAAGGCATCCTGTGTCATCAGGGAATATCTTCAGAGCAAGGACAAAAACAGGGAGCTATCGATAGCCAGGTTCCAGGATAGTCGGAAGAACATTCTAGCAGTCATGACTGTCCAGGGATCAGTCAGGTCAACTGTCAAATGATGACCTCCCTGTCCCTAAAGGTATGCAAGCAGAAGCAAATGACCGCATGCTTGAGGAATGAATGACTGTCAGGGGTGTTGTCCAGGGGTGTTGGGTTGGGTTGAGAGAGGCATTGCATTCTGACAATGGCTAATTTGATTATCAATGGCTTCCTCTGAAGCTGCTTTCCTGTCACTTTGCCAAAGCCTATGGGGCCTTCTAAATGCTGTTTCTGTTTTTATGTCTAATTCTCTGACCCCTGGACTCCTAGGATACCACCTTCATGGGAAAGTTGGCTTTGAGTGAACCTAACCAGAAACTAGAGCATCACCTAACACAATTAACATTGAATGAATGATTTAGAACCCAGGCTTTGTCCCTTAATATTAATGCCATTAGGGATGGAATCTGAACAAATGGTAGTTGTTATTATGGTTATTCAGAAATGAAGAGGAGACTGGGGAGTGGGGCTCAGCAAGGGGGTGCAGCTCATGTAGGTGAAATCCCAACAAGGAGGACAGGGGTTCTGTTGGAAGAAAGGGGGCTCCTTAGGGAGAACAGCGGGAGGGTCAGATGCTTATGCATCCAGGGCTTCAAGTGTCTGATGGTGTCCTGTTCTCAGGAGTTCTGGCTTTGGAAAAGGATTGGGGCTCCTTCTTAGCCTGCCACCTTCTGGATACATGAGGCTTTTCTGGGGGCACTCAAACCCCAGGTCATAGGATAGGCCATATGATATTTTGTTTTGTTTTTCCATATGTTGTTATAGTCACCAGTGGTCTCCGAGTTGGGTCAGGCTTCCCTAGGCTTCAGTCCCTTTCATCTCTGCCCCTAATAAAACCTGAGTCACTGCTGGGGCCACCAACAGGGTCAAAGTTCTGGGTTTCACCAGCCTAGGAGAGAGGAAAACAGAGATGGGGGAGGGAAGTTGGGGGACTGGGTCCATTTCTGGTCTTAACGTCCTTCAGAGTGGTCTAGGGTCTGCCTCATGGGTTAGGCCTGAGGCTGGGGATGAACAGGTTGACTTCATGGGTCCTTGGGGTCAAAGAATAGGATTGCCCTAGTCAGTGTGACTTGGAAGTCAGAAGGGGGCCTGCGTGGCCTCTCCATGACTGCTGTGATCCCCTTTAAAAGCAAACCTCCAAGACTTGACTGGTTTTTTTCAGTTGGTTGGGCATTGTCCAGCAAAGCAAAGGGTCGCTGGTTTGATTCCTGGTCAGGGCACATGCCCGGGTCATGGGCACGTCTCTGGTTGAGGTGTGTGCAAGAGGCAACCAACTGATTGATGTTTCTCTCCCACATCAATGTTTCTCTCCATCATCAATGTTCCTCTCCCTCTCTTCCTCCCTCCTTTCCCCTCTCTCTAAAAATGCAATAAAATAAAATATAAAATAATATAAGCAAACCTCCAAACTATCAAGCCTCAGTTACCAGGTAATTGAGGAGTTTGCTGTGGTGGTTAAGCACTTAGGGTTGGTGTTCAAGTCTTGCCTCTGTTACTATGTGACTCTGGGCAAATTTCTTAACCTCTCTGAGCCCTTTTCCCCTCATCTGCAAAATGGGAATGTTTGCTCATAATTTACTAATAATCTATTCTTTATGAGGTATCAAATGTATGGGATTCTTTTGAGGATTCTATAGGACCATGAACATAAAGCACAATGTAAAGCAAGGTGTTTGGCACAGAGTAAGCCTTCAACAAATGGCTGTTGTTACTATTAAACCAGATCCACCAGAGTTTCTAGGGAGCTTAGAGATCTCCTCAGACAATTGTTATTATTATCCCCCTATTAATAAAGGAGGTCATGGAGACCCAGAGAGATCAAAGAGGGTCAGAAAAGCAATGAGATCCTGGCCCCGCCCCTTAAAAGAGCGAAGGTAAGATGTGCTCTGCTGGAGAGGACCAGTGGAATATCTGCATGTGATCAGAGCCCTTATCTCAGGAGCAGGAGGGAAGATGCCTGGGCATAGATTCAGATATGACTTCAATCCCCATCTTCAAATCTGGCAGGTGCAACACCCTGAGCCAGCCACTCCTCTTCTCTGACCCTGGGCTTCTTCATGTGTACAATAGAGGAAATGATCATAGAGGAGAAAATTGAGGGAAAGTGCATGTAAGTCCAAAGTGCTGGGTCCTGAGAAGTTTTATGAAGACCGGTGGATGCAGCCAGATGTGCGCCCACAGTCATACCGCACGCTGAAGCTAGCACACAGGCGTCCCCACCTGCTAGTATTCAGTCACAATTCAAGGTGACAAAGCAGAGTTTATGAGTCTGTGTTTTAGTTTATAAGGCGAGTTTTTGTTCTTTTTCTCTTATTGCATCCTGACAATAACCCTATGAAGCACTCACTCTTATCATTACAGTTCTGTGGCTTGAAACCCTGGAACATGAGGGGGAAAGTCTCCTGCTCAAGGTTATCTAGCTAGTGAGTGGTAGGGCCAGGGGTAACCCAGCTCTGCTTGAAGCCAAAGCCAGTCTTTTCCTCCCTTCTTTTATAATGGCACAAACAGGGTTCGAACAATTGCCTAGTTTTCAGCTCTCTGATTTTTCCAGTTTTGGGCTCCTTGGAGGACTCCTCGGGCAGAGTCCCAGCCCCACTCATAGACCAGTGGGTCAGATCCTATGTCATTTTTGCTCTATCCCTCCCCTCTCCTTCTAGGCTTAGGCCACAGCTTTACCCTTTGAAGGTCCCTGGCATAGGGGAGCACCTGAAAATGGCAAGAAGGCTGGGAGTATCATGCCCATTTTACAGATAACGAAACAAAGGCCCCAAAGATCGAAGGACTTGCCTAAGGTTACCCATCTGACTTTGGCAGAAGTATTCTGCACTATAGAGAGCCATCATTACCACTCCTGACCCTGTCTCTCTTTTTTCTGGCACCTCTGCAGGGAGTTGGGCCAGAGTGAGCCAAGTACTCTTCAGGACGGGCTGCTGGAGCCCAACATGGAGGAGGCAGGCAGGTCCCCAGCTCGGACAGAGGCCCGAGTGGTGAGTGCCAGACTGACATGGCAGCAGCGGCCCCCTGCCCAGCAAGAGAGTAAACATCGTTTTCACAAGGTGTCCTTGGTATCGGAGGCCCACAAGGAAGCCCCTCAGGAGGGGATGTTTGAGTACAGTCACCGTGGAAAGGAAGTCAATGGTTTTACTGTAGGGGGAGAAGAGACCGTGAATCACCAAGGCCCCCGAATTGGGGCTGACTCCAAGAGCTTCCAGAGCCACGGGCCCATCTTTTCCAAAAAGTACACACCACCTCCCAGGGAGAAAAGGCTGGTGAGAAGGCTGAAAGAGGTGGTGGACCAGGGTGATGGCAACTCCCAAGACCCTAGGACTGAGCCACCAAGGCTGGGAGCCATAGCAAGGACTGAGCTCTTGGTGCCCCTGCCTGGGCCCCGTGAGCCAAGCCCCCACCCAGGTATAAGCCTTGAGAAACGGCAGGTGACACGCACTGTGCGGACCACTGTGGTGGTAGGAGGGCATGTGGACCAACGGGTGAGAAGCTCTGTGACCTTGGAGCCAGTGCTGCCCAGGGGCCGCAGTGCTGTCCGGGCAGTGGTGGTGAGCCACAGGGCTGAGGGCTTGCCCAGCCACAGTCAGGCCCTGGAGCTGCTAAGTAGTATTGTGCCTGCTGAGCAAAACCCACCTGCCAGCAGGCTTCCCAGGCCCATGGCTCCAGTGCCAAGGAGTCCAGGTCTGAGCAGCACAGTAGACACAGCCCTGGGACAGCTCCCTGAGATGGAGAAAACAGAGCCAAAAGACAGATCTGCCCCAGACCCTGTAGGTATCCCAGAGGGTGCTCACCCACCTCAGAACCAAGAGGTCCCTGCAGCCCACCCAGACCAAGATCAGGTCCGAGCTTGGGATACTAGGGCCCATGAGGTCCCAAGGGTGCAGGAAGCCTCTAACCCCCCCACCCAGCTCTCCCTCCACACCTCTCAGGAGCCAAAAGACAGATCTGCCCCAGACCCTGTAGGTATCCCAGAGGGTACTCACCCACCTCAGAACCAAGAGGTCCCTGCAGCCCACCCAGACCAAGATCAGGTCCGAGCTTGGGATACTAGGGCCCATGAGGTCCCAAGGGTGCAGGAAGCCTCTAACCCCCCCACCCAGCTCTCCCTCCACACCTCTCAGGGCCATGCACCAGTACCCTCTTCTCCCAGACTCCAGACCCACACCCCTTCCCTAGTCCTAGACCACGCTCTTGAGCAGCCTGTGGTGCCCTCTCACCCCAGAGTCCAGCTCATTCTTGACCCCAAGGAACCCCAGGCCCTGCCCTCTGTAAAAAAGGAGGGGGTCACAGGTCCCCCTGCTGCTACCATCATGCCCATGGTAAGGAGTGAGGCTGCTACTGTTCCTGGACAACCTCTGTCCTCTGCAAGAAGGAAGTGTATCCCCAGCCCAGGAAATCTGTCTGTTCCATCTTCCCCGACGAACAAGGTTGTTCAGGACTCTGAAAATGCCTCTATCTTTCCCATTACCCAGAAAGAAACAGTGCAGGTTCCTGATACTCCTGCCGACACAGTCTCCACCCACAAAGGGGTTGTGCAGGGTCCTGGTGCTCCTGCCACTTCGTCCCCCAAACCAACTGAGGTTGTCCAGGACCCAGAAGGCAGGCCTAGCACCCCCCAAAACGTCATCCAGGGTATTGAGAGCAGCCTTGGCCCTTCCCTCACCAAGGAAGAGTCTGTTCAGGACCTGATTGCCCCTGTGATCCCATCCTCCCATGAGGTTGAGGTTGTCCAGGGCTCTGACAGGAGCCCCATCTCATCTCCCACCCAAACGGGGGCTGTCCAGGGCCCTGCTGTTCCCCCTGCTCCCTCCTCCTCAGTGGGAAAGGTGCCCCCCAGCCCAGCAGGGCCACCGGCCCCAGAGCCAATGGGAACAGGGGCCAGCCCAGAGTCCCAGCTTGTCCCTGACTCCACTGAAGACAAGGTGTTCCTGGAATCCCTGAGGGAGGAGGAGGAGGTGGCCCTGGATGCTGACCTGGAGATTTTCCTGGACACCCTTCGGAGCATGGAATCCCCTGAGATCCTCCGCACTCACCGGCTGCCACGAGCCCCCCGTTCCTCTTACCTGGCCATGTTTGCCACGCTACCCGCTATCGAGGAGGACCAGCCCAGGCCAGGGATGCTGGGACTCAGCCCCCAGGAGGTGCCTGCACTGGAAGAAAAGGAAGAAAAGGAGGAAGAGGAGGAGGAACCAGAGAACCCCTACCTGAGTGATGATGAGAAGCTCCAGCGCAGGCGGGAGAAAGCCTGGGACTTCTGGGACTCTGGCCCTAGCAGGCCCCACCAGACCTCTTATTCTCCTCTGGAGATGATGAAGAAGCACGTCACAGATGCCAAGCGCTCCCACTCAGAGCCAGGGTCAGAGCGGCAGACAGGCACGAGGCCTACTTCCCGTCTTGGAGGCAGTCTTTTCTTTGGTGGTCTGGTGCCTGCCAGCAAGGAGGTTCTCACCTTGGGATCGCTGGGCACAAAACTATCTGCTCTGCCCCCCCATGGGGCACCAGGGCTCAAAAAGGTGCCAGGACAGTTGCCCCTGCTCTGCAGTGAAAGGTTGCCGACAGAGAAGCCTGAAGGTGCTGGGCCCCCTGAGGGCTGGGTGAGTGAGGCCTTGGTTGGGCAAGGGAGGGCGCTTGGCCTCACCAGGGTTTGGATGGTATGAGGACCACGGTACTAGGAGGCAGAATCTTCAGGGGTAGAGGTTTAGGCCTTGTGTTTGGGCCTGAGGTTTGGCTCAGTGTGACCCTGTGCAACCTACGTCTCTTTGGGCCTCAGTCTTCCTGTCCAAACAGGAAAAGGTTTGCACTGTGGATTCCCAAGGGCTTAGTGTCTCCAATCTCTTGGAAGCTGGGGAAGGGGAGTAATAGGGACACAGCTCCTGGGACAGGGTGGTTTGGGGGCAAGGGTGGTGTGCTCTGTGGGGGTAGAGACTAGTACAGAGGATGTGGGATGCTTGGAATAGCAGGCTGTGGGAGGCAGTAAGAAGACAACCCCATAAGACTTCTTACCACTCACTGCCTCCACTCCAGAGCTCAGCATCGAAGACCCAGGGCAAACTGAACACCAGGCCAGGAAAGGTAGGTGGGTGGGGGGCAAGTGTGTGGGAGGAGGAGCAGGAGGTGGAATCTTCAGCAGTCTGAGGACCCCTTCTTCTGTGTCTCCTCCAGGTGATCCTCTTCTCAGAGCCCGGCTGCCAAGGCAGCAGCAGGCAGGTTTGGGAAGACATTGCTGATACCTCCGGCTGGGCCCAGGTGGCCTCCATAAGGGTGCTTCGAGGCTGGTGAGTGCAGAGTGCCTGAGGAATGAGGGCCTGCCTGTGAACCTGGGGCAGTGGGGGCAGCGAGTGCAGCGAGAAGTGCTCAGAAACCCCCTCAACTATCCAGAAACCCTGCCTTGTGGGTATGTCCTCTCCCACCCAGTGACCCTGGTTCTCTCTGCCCACAGCTGGGTGCTGTATGAAGAGCCAGAGTTCCAGGGCCAGAAGCTGGTCCTGCCTGAAGGAGATGTGGAACTCAGGGCCTGGGGGACAACATGGAGTCTCAAAAGCATCGGGTCCCTGAGGAGGGTTGTCCGGGTGAGTGGCCTGGATGTTGCCCTGTCTACCCTGGGCCCCAGGCCCTGAGGAGGAAGAAAGCCTCAGGCGCCTAGAGTTGGAATCTCTGGGATAGATCATATTGAGTAGGGGACAGAGGGTTAGGGTTATTATGGACTCACCTATAGATTCCTGACTTGGAGCCAACTAGAGAGTGCTCAGCTTGGTTTGAGGAGGCGGGGCCTGGCAGAGGCCAATCCACAGCTTGGGAAAGCAGCCTGGGGAAGTCTGAGCTGGCTCTGGAGAAAGATTCCATTGGAATCACACAAACAGGTGGGGGTGGATATGGGTGCTTCCCCATCGCCAGGGCCCAGGCTCTTAGGCCCACACTGAGACCCCCAGTGCCTTGGACATTTGTTCTTCCATTGGCTCAAGGATGCTTGATAATGTTTCTATGTGCCAGCTCCCACGCCAGGCAATGGGGCTGAGGGAGACCTGCTCTCTGCCCTGCTGAACTCAGGGTCAAGCTAGGGTCTCAGGATGGAGTTTGAAGCAGAAATGCCATACAATAAGATTGGGGATTTATAAACACTTCTCTGGCTGCCAGGAGGAGAAGAGATTGGATGGGAACCCCAGAGGCAGGAAGCCCAGGAAGGACTGTGATGTCCAGCTCAGGAGCACCCCTGAATTTTGAGGGTGGGATGTGTGGTTGGAAAAGGTATAGTCAGTATTATAGTTTCATATCTGTAAAGTGGGGGAAAAACAACATTGTTTTTATAACACCGATTTACAAACTACCAAAATTAAACTTGGCAAAACCATCTTGGTCACTAGGGAGAACCAGAAGAGAAAGCAGGGCCGGTCGGGTGTTTTGTTTTTTGTTTTTGTTTTTAATGAGTGGAGGAATAACTCTGAGTCCAGAGCTGTTGAAATCTCCCTAGTAGGAGAGGACGAGAGCTGATGACTCTTAACTAGGGCAGTGGCCCAACCATGCAAAGGGGGAATAGTTTCAAAGCCTCTCCAGAAACACACAAACGTTTGTAGACTATTGCAATCTTCTCATCGTGGTGTGGAAGCTAATGAGGTACAAGAGAAAAACAAGGGCTTTGAGGTCAGGTGGACCTGGATTCATTTGATTAATTCAGTACCGATTGGACACTTAGTGTGTTCCAGGCACATGGGTGGTGCCGGGTGAACAAAAACTAAACAGCTCTATACTTGGCCCTGCTACTTACAGGCTGTGTGTCCTTGGGCAGGCTGCTTTCCTAGTCTGAGAATGGAGTGATAACTCCCATTGACAGGACCAAGTGAGATGGGGTAAGATGCCCTTAGCAAAGTGCCTTGCCATCTGTGGATGATTCTTAATCATGGGGTGAAGGAGGGAGTCAATGAAAATGGTTCTGATGAGGAAGAAATGCCCAGGATGCAGAGAGGATCTGCTGCTTCCTGGGATGAGGTGCAAGTGGAACCAGTCTGGACAGAGGCAGGAATTATATTTAAAGGAATAGTTGAAGTTAGATCTCAGGAAGCAGCTGTCCATCCCACCTGTCCCTCCAGCAGGCTGGAAGCCCGGCGACCCAGAGGCAAGGCAAACAGCATGGCACTTGGCACACTTCTGCTGAGAACTTTGGTCTCAGGTCCTGAGGGAACAGGGTGGGACCAGCAAGGACTTTGGTGTTGGGATCGTCTAGCTGACCTTAAGAGTACACCCCAGTCATCCCTCCTTGCTTCCGGGGAGACAGTCACAAAGATTTCCCTGAAGCCCCCTGGAGGCCCAGCTGGGCAGACTTGGGGAAGCAGGTGCAGATATTGGTAGTGTCTGAGGGGTGCTGTTTTACACTTCATTTTTCCACCCTTCTCCTTCAGGACTACATCACCCCAGAGATCAGCCTGTACTCTGAGAAGGGCCTCAAGGGGGAGCAAGTGAAGCTAACCAAGTCCTTGGAGGACCCCCAGAGCCTGAAGAGGCCCATGCAGGTGGCATCTGCCGCTGTCCCTGCAGGACTGTGAGTCTGGGCTGTTCTGGAATCCCTTCATTTAACATTCATTGTGCTGGGACACATAGGTGACAGGATACAGTCTTGTTCTCAAGAAGTGCTCAGTCTACTGGTGGGGACAGGGAAGTAAGCAGACAGCGGCTATCCAGGGTTCCGGGATGGGGGAGCACAGAGCTGTGGGAGTACAGAAAAGCACCAAACCAGCCAGAGGTGATGGAGGCCTGCCAGGAGGAGGAGATGCCTCAGCTGGGAGCAGTTGGCCCCAGAAGAATCTAAGCTCCCTGAGGACAGGGATTATTTACACTTAGTTCACTACTGTATCCCTGATGCCTAAAGCAGGGCCTGGCACAGGGTAGATGTCCTTGGATGTTTGTTAATTGAGTGAATGGGGGAAAGAGTATATCCAGCAAAGGGAACAGCACCTGCAAAGGTCCAGAGGTGAGAGGTCTAAGCTTTGAAAATCCAGTCTGTTCAGAGAAAGCAGCAAATGGGGAAATGTGGGGCCCAGGAGGAATGCAGGGGGACAGACTGCAGGGCCTCTTTGTGCAGCTGGACTGTATTGTCAGGCTAACAGGAAATTACGGGGGATTTTTAAGCAGGTCTATGAACTAGAAAGAACTCTCCAGCTGCTGTGTGAAACGAGAGAGGGACAGGCCAGAGGAAGGGGCACGGATGGAATGGTTACTGCCTGAGATTATGGGGGTCTGAGTTCCCCCATAATCCCCTTGACAGAGGCCCCTTGACAGAGGCCTCTCCCCCCATAATCTGCAAGAGTCCCCTTGACAGAGGCCTTTCCCCCAAGACCTTCTCCTCTCTAAGCCTTCCCTCCCATCCACCAATCTGTGTCCCCAGGTGTTTGGGGTGAAGCTGCCTCTCTGCCTCCCCTAGGTGGCTGCTGTACCCCAAACCCTTCTTTGAAGGCACTCCCTGCATCCTGGAACCTGGAGAGTACCTCACCTCTGATGCCTGGAGCACATCAGACCCCAGCGTGGGCTCCCTGAAGCCCATTAAATTGGTAGGTGGTTCCAAGTAGCCTTGTCCTGGGGGAAGGACAAGTAGTCTGGGGGAAGAGGCAGGGCCTGGGAGCTCCTACAGGGAATGGGACTGGAGGAGAGGTGGAATTACCCAGGAGGTGGGGGATAGGGAAAACAGGGGGTTGGCCATTTTAGGGGTCTCAGGATCAAGTAAATCCAAGGTCACCAGTCCCATCTGCCTTCCCCCACCTCTGGGCTGGTGTCTCAGCTCTGTATCCTCTGCAGGGCTGCCCAAGAGTGGAGAAGCCAGGGGAGCCCAAGGTAAGAGTCTGGGCTTTCCGGTCAAAAAGGACCTTTGGGTGGGTTTTGTGTATGTGTGTGGCTATCGTGGCCTGGGCTGGAAGACAGGAGAGGAAGGTCCTGGGAGCCAGCAGCTGGGTCTTGGAAGGTGGAACCTGATGGGCTCACTGGGAACTGGCTGTTATGTGTAAGGACTAGACCAGAGGTCAGAGAAGAGACTGGAGTTGGGGCCTGGGGCTGAGTGAGGGAGTGGGAGGGCTTAGCTGTGTGGGCTGATGCTGCGCAGAGCCATCCTGGACTGGCTGGGTATGTTTGGGTCCAGATCACTCCCCACCACCCAGACCACCTTTTCCCCCAGGCTGTGGTGTATGAGGCCCCAGGCTTTCAGGGCCAAAGCTGGGAAGTGAGCCGAGACATCTACAACCTTCAGCAGCCAGAGGACAGCCACAGCCCCCACCTGGCCTCTGTGGGGTCCCTGAGAGTTCTTGGAGGCTGGTAAGGACTCAGGACCCTTCCTTCTACCTTATCCACCCCACTGGTCCCTACTTGGGGAATGGGAAGTGATCATCCTGGTTGTCTGCAGGTGGGGGCAACTGTCTTACACACCCAGGGGTCTTCTCTGACTGAGTCTGTTTGTCTGCCTCCACCCTCCCCCAGCTGGGTGGGCTATGAGAAGGAAGGCTTCCGGGGCCACCAGTATCTGCTGGAGGAGGGGGAATACCCTGACTGGTCACACTGGGGAGGCTATGACAAGGCGCTAACCTCCCTACGGGTCATCCGAACGGTAAGCAACATCAGTTGGGCCACCCCTCTGCCTCTGGTCACAGCCATACTCCCCGTCCCCAACCCCCCAGTACAATTAGTTGAGAGAAGAATTTATGTTCCATCTCCCTCTTCTCCAGAGCATCTGAAGTGTTCTCTGAGGTCTAGCCTCTCGCCCTCCTGCTCCTTTTCTCCAAGCCACACTGATCACCTCACCCCAAAGTCCCCTGCTGGTCTTCCTCTCTGGGGTCTGGTTACTCCCAGGGGTTTCGGTGGGTGGGTGGGAGAGACCTGACTGTCCCTGGGGCCCAGGACTTCTCGGATCCGGCCGTGGTGCTGTTTGAGGCCATGGACTTCGAGGGGCCCCACGTAGAGGTGAGCGAGGCATTGTCGGACGTGGAGCTGGCGGGACACCGCACCCACACGCAGGCTATCCACGTGCTCAGCGGCGTGTGAGTGACAGTGGGGCGGGCCGGGCGGTTCTGGCGGAGGTGCCGGCTCCGCCCCGCTGATCCGAGCCTCTCCCTTTTTGTAGGTGGGTGGCCTATCAGGAGGTGGGCTTCTCTGGGGAGCAGTATGTGCTGGAGAAAGGAGTGTACCGTAACTGTGACGACTGGGGCGCAGGCAACAGCGCCCTCGCCTCGCTTCAGCCGGTCTTGCAGGTGCGGCCTGAAGGCGGGGCCTCTGGGAGGTGGGACTTGGAGTGAGGCGGGGCTAATGACAGGAGACTGGAGAGCCGAAGCTAGGGGAAACCCGAGGAGCTAAGGCAGGGGCTAGTTCCCTCTTTATGTTTTGAAACTTTGATCTCTCCTTTCAGGTGGAGGAGCATAATCTGCACTTTGTCTCAAAGGTAGGGAGCTGGCGGAGGCCTATGTCTCTTCGCTCATTTGAGATCGCTCCCCCTCTTCCCCATTTTCTCTGGCTCATTCCATTGCCCTTCTTCACTCTTATCTATTCCCGTCTCCGCCCCCAGATTCAGCTTTTCTCGGGTCCCGACTTCCTAGGAGACCATATCTCCTTCGAGGATGACCAGGCATCTCTGCCCCCTTCTTTCCAGCCCCAGTCCTGCCTCGTCCAGGGCGGCAGGTGAGGATGTCGGGGAGGGAAGCTCGGGGCAGGCGGACCGTCCCTGAAACATTTAACTAGGTTTGGAAATTGGAGCTGCAGTAAGAGGGTCTTTATTTCAGATGATTTCCTTATTCTGGTTTCATTGAAATGAGTGAACTATTCAGTCCCGAAGCATCAAATCTTTAAATAATCAAAGCAAAGTTTCAATGGAAATGTAAAACTTGTAGATAATATAGTATAAAGAACCCCAATCTTGTTTCATCTGCCCTTCTGCCATTTTTTAGTGGATTATTTAAAATTCTCGGCCCAACATAAAATTTCACAGGTAAATACTTAAGCATGTATATCTAATAAGACCTGCCCCCCATACAGCCACAAGTTATAACATCTAATAAAATTAAGAATAATTAATAATTAATAATACCTAATACCCAGGCCATGCCCAATTTCTCCTATTGCTTCAAAAAAAAATGCCTTTTAGAAGAAGAGAAAAACCAAAAAAAAAAAAAAAGAGCCTTTTAATTTTAATTTTATTTTTTTATTTATTGATTTTTTTTTTTTTTTGAGAGAGAGAGAGAGAGAGACCTTGATTGGGTGATTGTTGTATGTGTCTGACCGGGAATCCAACAACAACAACCTTGGCATGTCTGTAAAATGCTTTTAACCAACTGAGATGCCCTGGCTAGGGCGAAAAATACCTTTTTAAATTGGTTTGTTTTTCTCAGGATCCAAACAAAGGTCCGCACATTGCCATTTGGTCGATTTGGTCTCTAGTGTATAACAAGCCCCCCCCCCTTTTCATTTTGTTTTACACCATTTATTTGTTTGAGGAAACCAATAACTTGCCCTGTGAGTTTCCCTTCTTTTGTATTTGGCTGATTGCTTCCTAGTCTTGTCTTTTAACTTGTTCTTCTGTGCCTCATATTTTGTGTAAACTGGTAGTTAGAACTAGAGGACTGATGAAATTAAAGGTGTTGTTTTGTTTTGTTGCCAATGCTATCTACATGATACTGTGGACTTCCACTGCCTAACACCAGGAGGCCTGTGTCTGCTTGTCCCACTTTCAATGACATTAAGATGCCTGCATCATAAGATTTCCCATCTACCTTTCACCTAATGGTTTTAGTATCTATTGATACTTGCCTAGATCCATGACTTCTTTAGAAGTTACAAAATAATGATTTTCTAGTTTTTGTTATGCTTTCTACATGTATTAGCTGGAATACTGAGAATATTCCTTTTCAACTATTTGTTTACCTATACAAAAAAAGGGCAGTTCGATTTTTCCCAGGGATCAATGTTGCATCTACCCCTTTTTCTTGACCAATTCTCAGAATAATTTATGAATTGGTTCTCTAGTGACTTCCAAAGCTGACCATTGAAAATGTTTTTAAAAGTATTGTTATGAACTCATAGAATTTTATGTATTTGAAATGCTTCAGTCCATTGGCGTCACTATTCTTTTGTGTGCTCAGATTGTTCCATCTCTGGCCAGTGGGAGCCTCTTCAAATTGCCTCCTGGGTCCTGTTGATATGACCCCAGTAGTTCTTTAAAAAAAAAAAAAGAACTTCCTTGTTTTTCCTGGCACAATAAGATGCTCCAGGATAATTTTGCAACCTCCCTTCCCTGCCACAAACCCACAAAAACATTTGGAATCAGCCATTCCCCAAGGACCTCTGGCTCCTTTCAGTGGGACATTACTATTCAGAGACCAAAATCTGCATGCTAGGTGTTTTAAAATTATAATAGTAATATTACTACTAATGGTAAAAACCAGTGACTACTATTTGAGGGTTCTCTGTGTTCTTTATGTCTTCGAGACATTCACCTACATCCCATTTGGCATGTTTATATCATTCAAAATATTGTGTTTTTAAGACATTTGAAATAATGTGTGGTTTTTCTTTGTGGTTATGCTACCAGCCCAATGTAAAGTTAGACTTATTAATTTAATTTAATTTAATTTAATTTAATTTAATTTAATTTTTAGGAGTATTTTTATTTTTATTTAATTCTGGGTCTTTAAAATAGATTTTATTTATTTATTTATTTATTTATTTATTTATTTATTTATAGAGAGAGGGGAAGAGAGAGAGAAAGAGAGGAAGAGAAACATCAATGTATGTTTGCCTCTCATGTGCCCCAAATTGGGGACCCGGCTTGCAAACCTAGGCATGTGCCCTGACTGAGAATCAAACCTGCGACCCTTTGGTTCACAGGCCAGCACTCAATCCACAAGCCCCACCAGCCAGGTCTTAATTCTGTTTTTTACTTACATAAAATATTTACAGTGTTCCTGTCCTAGTCAGCTTGGGCTACTACAACAAAACAGCATACCCTGGGTGGCTTAGACAATAAGAATTTATTTTCTCTCAGTTCTGGAGGCTGGGAAGTGCTGGTGGATTCAGCGTCCTAGTGAGGGCCCTCTTCTGCCTCCCAGCTGTGACACACGCCCCCTGCTGTGGAAACAGAGCTCCTGCCTCTTCCTCTTACAGGGACACTAATCCCATCTTGGGGGCTCTACCCTCAGGATCTCATCTAAACCTGTTTACCTCCCACAGGCCATTATTGGAGGTTGGGGTCTTCGACATAGGAATTCTCGGGGAGTCACAAACATTCAGTGCGTGCAGCTCCAAAGTCAAGACTTACAAACATTAGCCCTGGCTGGTGTAGTTCAGTGGATTGAGCTCGGGCCTGCGAACCAAACGACTGGGGTTCAATTCCCAGTCAGGACACATGCCTGGGTTGCAGGCCATTTCCCAGCAGGGGCCAGTTCCCAGCAGGGGATGCACCAGAAGCAACCATACATTGATATTTCTCTCCTTCTCTCCCCCTCTAAAGATAAATAAATAAAATCTTAAAGAAAAAGGCTTAAAAAGATTAGCTTCTGTCTCTGTCCCTGCTACCTTGTCCCCTCCCTCCCCTACAGGTGATTTTTTTTTTAGTGTTTAGTTTATTCACTCATTGTGGTTTTTTATTTTTATTTATTTTTTAAAAGATTTTTTATTTATTTATCTCTAGAGGGGAAGGGAAGGAGAGAGGGAGAGAAATATCAATGTATGGTTGCCCCCCGTGAGTCCCCCAGTGGGAACTGGCCTGCAACCCAGGCATGTGCCCTGACTGGGAATTGAACCGTGGTTGCTTTGTTCCCAGGCCCGCACTCAATCCACTGAGCTACACCAGCCAGGGCTTCATTGTGGTTTTTTAAAAATATAACTAAATATATATCCAGGTAAGTTTACATATAACTATAGAAATCAAATCAAATATTTTGCTTCCCTCCTTCCTCATTTTCTTACACAAAAAGGTGTATACTACAACTTGATGAATCTACTACAAACTGTGTACTTGAAAAGAGTGAATTTTATGGTATGCAAATTACATTTTGGCTTTTTAAAAAGAAGCATACTATAAATTACAGCAATATACTTTTTTTTACTTAACAGTTTGGAGATAATGTTATATCTCTTTAAAAGGTCATTTTTATTCCTTTCTCCAGCTATATTATATTACACATCCTTAGTGTATTCACCAGTCCCTCACTGACAGACACTTGGGCCACCTCCACTCTTTGCCATTGCACACAGTGCTGTAATGAATGGGCATGTGCGCTAGTGTTATTTTATGTTTTTGGAGGGGTCCTTGGGATAGATTCCAAGCCATAGGATTGTTGAATAATTGCTTGATATGGCCAAATTTCCCTCCTTAGAGGCTTAAAAAAAAAAGATTTTATTTATTTATTTATTTCCAGAGAGAGGGGAAGGGAGGGAGAAATGGAGGGAGAGAAACATCAATGTGCGTGAGAAATACATCAATCGGCTGCTTCCCGCACACCCCAAGTGAGGACCTGGCCCTCAACCCAGGCATGTGCCCTGACTGGGAATCCAACTGATGACCTTTTGGTTTGCCGGCTAGCACTTGATCCACTAAGTCACACCAGCCAGGGCCTTTTTTAAAAAATTGATTTTAGAGAGAGAGAGAAACATTGATTTGCCATTCCACTTAATTTATGCATTCATTGGTTGCTTCTTCCACACACCTGCAGTCTTAACATATCAGGACAATGCTCTAACCCACTGAGCTACCTGGTCAGGGCTCAATCAGTCCTTTCCTATGTCTGACCTCTTAAGGCTGCTGCAGTGCAGTTCATCCTTGACCTCTCCTTGATGAAGGGGGGGTCATGATCAAGTCTGCATCTACTCTGCTGTGTCTCAGGGGCCTGGGCAGGCTGAAGACAGGGCAGGCTGTCTTCCACTCATGTCCCGCCACCCTTCCCCTTTCCCAGCTGGATCCTGTTTGATGAGAAGAACTTTGAGGGTGACCAGCACATTCTCTCCGAGGGCGAGTTCCCCACTCTCACGGCCATGGGCTGTCTAGCCTCCACAGTCCTGGGCTCCCTCCAGAAAGTACCCCTGGTGAGTGCCCCTGTCCAGTTCCAGGCAATCAGTGAGGCAGGGAGTGCTGCTGGGATGTCCCGAGCCTCTTCCCACTGCTGAGTGGGCTGGCGGAGCTTGAATCCAGTCTTCCTCGAACCAGCACGGGTCCCCTTGGCCCCAGGACTTCAAAGCCAGTTCAACTTACCAGAGATGTATCGAGCATCTGCCAAGATAAGTCCTGGAGACAATAAAGTAAATCGGACACAGCCCTGCCTTCGAGGAACCCACAGTCACATTGACGTAGAGATTGCTATGTGCAGTGGTGTGTCCAGATACAGAAGTGGTACAGGGACGGGAGGGATTGGCACTTGGGTGGGCTGGGGGGCAGGGCCAGACTGCTGAGGCCGTGGTCTGTGAGGAGAGGAGTGACACAGAAAGATGGTTTTGCTGTCGCGTGGAGAATGAATGGGAGGGGGCCAGGCAGTGGGGTTGCTCCCACAGTGAGCCAGAGTGAATCAGCGTGGCCTGGACCAGGGAAGAGGTGGAGAGGAGAGACGTGGGCTGCATTAAAGAGCTAACATCTGTGGGACATGGTGACCGGCACCGGGTGGGCCAGCAGGGGCAGCACAAGCAGAACAGCCAACATTTACTGAACACACAGCATGCTCTCGGCTTTTTAAACAAGGCTTTCAGTCCTTACCACAACCCTGGGCGGCTGCTACAGGCAGAGCCAGGTTCTCCCTGAGGCATCCCAGCTCCTGAGGCCAAGCTCTTTACAACTACACCCTGGGCTCTGAAGGCAGATAGACCTGGTTCTGGAGCCCATCTTTAGGGGTTTAATCTTCTCCAGCCTCAGTTTCCCCTCTAGTCAGCAAAGATAATAATAGCACCTACCCTATAGGGTTGTTGAGAGGTTATAATGAGATCAGGTAAAGTTCTTTGCACAGAATCTGGCATGTAGGAAGCCCAAAATATGTGAGAACTGCTATGATTAACAGTATTGTTAATGTACTGTTCTTAGAAGTGCCATTTACTGTACAGAAGGTTTGAGGGGCTAGGGGGCCAAGTCTGGCACTTGCTGTATCTGAGACTCTGGCGGACATCCAGCTGCCAGTGCCCAGGAGTCAGGAGTCCTGTGGGGTGGATCTCAGGAGGGAAGACAGCCTGAAATACCCATCTGGGAGTTGGGGGGCTGAGTGTGGGGCCAGGGCTTTCTTGGGTTCACCCCTTCTCCATGCCCCTGGGCCCTCAGCACTTTTCAGAGCCCTCCATTTTCCTGTATGGACTGGAGTGCTTCGAGGGGAAGGAGATTGAGCTCAGTGGAGAGGTACGGAGCCTGCAAGCCGAGGGCTTCAGCAACCACGTGCTGTCCGTGCGGATCCAGGGGGGCACGTGAGTGGGTTATGGGGAGGCACAGGGTACTGGGGGCTGCTCATAAGTGTGGGCTGGGCCCCTGGCTTCTTCCCTTCCCCTCTTCTATTCCTGTCTCCTCCCATCCAGGAGGGGGGTAGAGGTGGACTGAGGAGGGGCATTGATTCCCAGGGCTTGGACCCCAGCCCAGGGAGGAAGGGGCTCTTCAGGACCCTCCTCTGCCCTGCAAACCCCAAATCCACTTCCCAGCCTCTCTCTCCCCTCTTGAGACCCCAATTCCAAGCAGAAGAGTCCCAGCAGGAGAAAAGAGGAGGTGGGGAATGTTCTGACATTCTTGCCTTCTCCACCTCTCTGTCTGTCTTCCCCTCTGTGTCTCTGGCACTTGTTGGGCACAGCTGGGTGCTGTGTGAACACAGTGACTTCCGGGGCCGCCAGTGGCTGGTGGGCAGCTGCGAGATCACCAACTGGCTGACCTACAGTGGGACCCAGAGGGTGGGTTCTCTCTACCCCATCAAGCAGGTGGGTAGCATGTCAGGCTGAGTGTGTCCATGATGTCTTGTCTGGGTGTGTGTGTCTGTGTATTTCCCATGTTTCCCAAACTCAGCATTTGTGTGCTTTTGTCACAATTTTACTATGTCATCGTTCTTATTCTTTTCTCTTTAAAGATTTTATTTATTTATTTTTAGAAAAGGAAAAGGAGGGAGAGAGGGAGAGAGACATCAGTGTGTGGTTGCCTGTCACGTGGCCCCCACTGGGGACCTGGCCCGCAACCCAGGCATGTACCCTGACTGGGAATGGAACCAGCGACCCTTTGGTTCGCAGGTCTGTGCTCAATCCACTGAGCCACACCACCCAGTGCTTGCCATTCTTCTTGAACCATTACCTACCTAATATTTTTCTATAAATCAACTAACCTTTTTACTACTCTATTCTTATTTTAAGGAATAATATTCCTAAAATCATGGGTTTTATGTGGATGTGTGATTTTTCCTCAATAGACAATATAATAAATGCATTACCATTACATTTTTAACAATAAGTTTATCCATGGAGGACTGAAAACCATCTCACGTACTACTCAGCAGTAGTAAGTGCACGCCACTTTGAGAAACCTTGTGTCCGCCCGTCTGGACGTGTGTCTTATTTCTTGCATGTGCGTTAATGTGGAGGCCTGGCCCTGGAGTCTGTGTGGGTTTGTGTTCGCCTGTCTGAGGGTCTTTTCTGTGTCTGCGAAGTCATTCATGACCCCTGGTCTGTGTACATGACTTGTGGTTTGTGTGCGTACCCGTCTGTGAGAGCACGTTCAGGAGGACGTGTGCCTGTGACACCACTGTGGTCCGTAAAGCCACAGACTCTTAGAACATCAGTGCTAGAAGAAACCTCGGAGGTTATCTCCAACTCCCACACTTTACAGATGGGGGATAAAGGCCCTGAGAAGTGGACAAGGACTTGCTCTGCAATCTTGGGCAAGTACTGCACCTCCATGGACCTCAGCTTCCTCACCTTTAAAATGGGGGTAACGCATATGATGGAATTGGTTTGAGGACTGACGAAAATGTATATAAAGTCCTTAGAACAGTGCTTGAGTGGATAAGCACTTAACAAACGTCAGCTGTGGTGCTTATTACTGTGACTGCCATCACCGGTACCGAGGTCCCCAGCTGATTGGAGGCAGAGGCTGATCTGAGGTCTGACAGGGCCGCGTCTGCCCTGCTGGGGCAGCTCTTTAGCATGGACATGTGCACGCGCACCCATATTCCTGCACATACCCGTAGCAAACATAAGCACCTGGTGTGGAGTAGGCTGGAGGGACCTGTGCATTGGTTAGGATGTGTGAGTTTGCATGGCTATGAGTATCCGTGTGTTGCAAACTTCTGTGCAACTGTGTGGACCTTGGTTTATCTGCTAGCATGTCCCTCTGCACACAGCCATGGGTATGTATGGACATGGCACTGTGTGGGTGTGGACGTATGCTTTAGATGTGCCCTTGGTATTTGTGTGACTTATAGGTGACTTAAAGGAGGGCCAGGGAAGGTTTAGGTGCAGGAAGGAGGGCTTGGGAGCTTGGGATACTGGAGGGTCCAGAGGTATGGGTGTTTGGGACCCAGGTGGGAGCATCTCTGGCCAGGGATCCCTGACTCTCAGCTCCCTCCACTCAACAGCGCCGGGCTTATTTCCGCCTCTGGAATGCAGCACTGGGGGGATTCCTGGCCATGCCAGACCACGTGGAAGACATGAAGGCAGGCCGTGTGGTGGTCTCTGAGCCTGCGGCTGGAGGTAGTTGCATCTGGTACTATGAAGATGGGCTGCTGAAGAACCAGGTACCTACTGGTTTAGTGGCTGGGACAGGGACCCCAGGACTCCAGGCATACACAGGCTCACCTTAGGAGGCCCAGCGCAGTTAGTAACAGGGCCCACCCTTGGGCCAGAGACACATTCATACCGATACTAAGACCCTGGGGAGGTGGAGGATGCAGGCTGTGCACCCCCCAGGCATTCATGCTCAGTCCCCCATGTGCAGAACAAGAGCTTTGAACCAGATGCTTCTAAGGGGCTTCCTAGTTCTGATATCCTGTGACAGAACTTGGGTCCTGGTAATACTGAGAGACTCACTGCACAGACATTTCCTGGGCACCGACTCTGTGCCAGACCCTGTTCTGAGTGCTGGGAATACGGCAGTGAGAAGGCAGAAATGACTCTTGCCCTCCTGAAGCTTACATCCCAGTGGCAAGTGGCAGAAGCAACTTAAATGAGTAAAATATCTTAGCACCTTAGATGATGGACAGTGTAATGGAGCAGCAAGTTTCAACCTTTGTCATCTCATGGCACATGGAAATTAATTACTAAAATTCTGTGGCACACCAAAAAATATATTTTTTGCTGATCTGACCAAAAATAGTTATAATTTTCATTGATTTATAAATAATAATGATGATGGTGATGATAGTAATGATAATGATAAGAAGAAGTAATTACCTACCCTTTTTACTCCAGAGTAACTTTTTAAAAAAACAGGTGCCTATACTTGTGTATAAGACTTCCTGGTACCACAAGAATTAACCAATCAGATGCAGCCTTAGCGATGTGACTAATAAGGTGCAACTCTATTGTATGACCTTTATATTTATGGTTCAAAACAGCATCCACACTGGATGACTATTGTTGTATTGGCTTTTGTAATTTAAGAAAATATATATTTATTTATTTTTAGAGAGAGGGGAAAGGTGGGAGAGAGGGAGAGAAACATAAATGTGAGAGAGAAACAAATATGATTGATCTCTTGGTTACCTGTAGCATGTGCCACTGGGGACTGAACCTCAAAGCCAGGCATGTGCCCTAATCGGGAATCAAACCGGAGACCTTTCATTTTGTGGGATGATGTCCAACCAACAGAGCTGCACTGGTCATGGCCTGTTGTCATTTTTTATTTGACAGTCTAAGGAAAAAGATGTCAATGCCCCTGCCTAAATAATCAAGTATTGCATGTTTTAAAAATTCTTGTGGCACACTGGTTGAAAATCACAGCAATAGAGAAAAAATAAATGAATAGAAGAAATAGGAAGTTTCTTCTAACTAAATCAGTAGCTCCAACAAGGGGACCCCTTTCAGAGAAGATAACGTTTGAAAGAGACAGCCAAGCAGATGTCTGATTAAAGTGTTCCAGATAGAGGGAACAGCAAGTGCAAAGGCCCTGAGGCAGGAACATACCTGGCATTTTCCAGGACTAGCAAGACCACCTGAATGTCTGGATTGACGCAAGTAAAAGAAGAAGTAGCAGGAGATGATATCAGAAAAATTATGGGGGTGTAGGTCTTTGTAGGCTATTAAAACGGGGTTGTCTTTCAGTTAGAATGAAAGGAAACACTGGCTATGTACTCAGGGTGCCGTGTTAAGCCCTTCACATGAATACCTCATATAATCCATAGAGAACACGAGGGCAGATTCTATTTTACAGGTTAGGAGAGCAGAGCACACAGAAGTTAAGTACATGGCTAAAAGTCACACAGCCAATAAGTGTGTCATGGCTTGTCTGATGCGGAGACCTGTGTGTTTTGGGAGTCAGTCATAGAAAGTTTCCTGGAGGAACTAATATTTTTCCAGCCCTCATATGACTTCTCACATCGAACCCACAACAGAGAGCACTCAGGGATCCCCATCTCCAAGGAAACCAAAGCTCAGGCGGATCAAGAGATTTGCCCAGGGTCACAGTCCGTAATGATTCAAAGCCAGGTGTGTCAGGGGTGTCTTTGGTGGAATCCCTGTGAAGAGGAACAGTGCCTGACAACTTCCTGGGGGCGCAGGTGGCCCCCACCATGAGCCTGCAGGTGATTGGGCCCCCCAGCACAGGCTCGAAGGTGGTGCTGTGGGCTGAGAGCCGCCTGCCCCGTCAGACGTGGAGCATCAACAAGTCGGGCCACATCTGCAGCCAGATGTTTGAAGGTCGGATTCTAGATGTGAAGGGTAAGGTGGGGGATATGTGTGGGAGAAAGCACCTGAGGGGGCAGGGGGCAATGGTGTTCCCAGCTTGCTCTGACTATCTCCCCGTCTCTTTCTCCTCCCCCAGGTGGCCGCGGCTATGACCGGGACCACGTGGTACTGTGGGAGCTGGCCAAGGACAGGGCTTCCCAGATCTGGACCATACACGTGCTTTGACACCCTACCCTCCCAGTCCCCGTGGTTTTCTCTGGGATGAAATGTTTTTATAGTATTTTTTGTTGTTATAACATAAGTTGTTTTCTAATATCCTCCTGGGTATCCTCCTTTCTGCACACTTGATATTTGGGTGTGAGATTGAGGATTAGTTCACCTACCTTACGCCTGCTTCAGTCTTGATTCTTCCCTTCTGGCTTGTCCTGAGACTCAGATGCAAGGCCACCCTTTGCCACCAGAGGGAGCCCTGGGACCAGACAAACTGTTGAGTGTGGTCCTTTATGGAGAGTCACCCCAAATGATGTGTTTTGAGAGCCTGCCCTGAGCTAGTTCTGGCACTGGGCTGTGGGAGTACACACAGGAACCAATTCCCCTGGTCCCTACCCTCAGGGAACTCACAGGTTCCAGTGCAGGATTCTGATAGTGAAGACAGCTGGTGTCTGCCAGGGATCCTAAGGGGAAGGGCCTCACCATTTGGATTCTGGAGCAGGCAACCTGGGGTGGGAGCTCCCTGGCACACAATCCTGCTGATGGGGGTGTGAGGGGGCATGGGAGGCTCCTTGGTGCTGCTGCAAACCTGGCTTTTGGGGCCCGATGAAGTCCAGTGACCACACATAGGACCCTACTCCAAGTACAGGACAACTTTATTGAACCTGGGCTGGGTGATGCTAACCCCTTTCACATCAGCACCTCCCAGTGTTGGCCTTTGCCCCCAAGGCACTTCCTGTCATCACTACTGGTGATATCTGGTATGAACCCCTCCCAAGGATTGGGGTGAGGAGCTTCTCTTGGTAGTGCTGGTGGCAGCTAACACAGAGGGCCCAGGCATGACCTCAGCTGAGGTGGAAGAGCTGGATAAAGGTGTTGGTCAAGATGATGAGGATGCTGACACCGCCCAGGCTGCTGAGTGCTGGGGCCGCTCCTGTTTGTTTCTTGGTGGCGGCAAGGGAGGGAGAGGGGTTCACGGTGGGGGTGGTGGGGGCAGTGTTGCCGGCAGCGGTGGTGCCGGCAGCGTTGGTTCGGGCTGGGGTGCGGGCTGGGGTGCGGGGGGCAGCGGGGTTGCGGGTGGCAGTGGTGGCCGGAGCAGAGGTAGTAGTGACCATGCCAGGCGCGGTGGTTTCCAACATTCCTCTTTGTATCTACAAGAAAAGTGGGGCAAGCTTTTGAATCTCAAGTTTGTGTAGAGACAGAGATCCTCTCCCCAACACAATAGTCCTCGCTTCTCTGTCCTGTGACCATGACTTCTGCCACCAGTTCCTGTGGAGACAATTGGCTGCGTCCTGCCTTGACACAGGCAGGGTCACAGGCAGTGCCTGGCCCACCTCCCACAGAACCTTCCTATCACCTCCAGGCCACGAGCTTCTCCAGCATGTGGAAGGTAGGGGAACGTGTGGCCCCAGCCTCTGACCTTACCAGCTGGGCCAGGGGCTTAGCCTGTCTGAGCCCCAGGTTCTTCATATTGTGAATAGGGAGAAGAGCACAACACTCTTGGCGGTGGTGCGGGGCAGGGAGGGGGGGCACATGAGGCAAGGCTGGTGAGAAGGCAGCTAGCAATGTGTGGGTGAGTAGATAGATAGATGGGGAGGGTACGATTTTCTCCCCGAGGATATGGCCAGATGGTGATCAAACTGTCCTCAGTCGCATGATCAAGCTGCAACTAAAGCTGCCCCTGATGGAGATTAAGCCGCTTCTGGTGGTGCTCAAGCTGTTCTTGATGGTTGATTGAACTGTTCTTCATCAAGAACTTAATGGCTCCCTCTCTTATGCTGACTAGAGCCCTCCAGGCACATAGGATGCTGCTGAAGCTGCCTCCTGGAATAGTAGTTGGTTTTGAGAATTCAGCTATTTCTGGAGTGGGCGATTTCTACCTTCTCTACGTTCCCAAACACCTAGGCTTGTCTTGCTGGGGATTCCCTGCCACCTCCAGAACAGGATCAGGTTCCACTTGAACATTTCCTGGCCCCTCCTAATAAGACCATTTCCCCAGGCTCCTTGTGGGTTGACGCCATCCTCCTCAGGGTTGTCTTTCCAGGCCTTTAAATTCACTATTATTCCACAATACCCCTTGGGTGCCTCCGTGTTCCTGGCACTCTGAAAATGCTCCCCAGCCTCAGGTACAGGCTTCTGTTCAGGGGAACCCTCAAGCAGTCTGAACCCAGTCAGAAGGGCAAGACTGCTAGGGGCCAGACCCTTCTTGGTTCTTGGTTTGCTTGCTGGAGCCTTTCTTCCTCTGTATCCCCGGGAGAAGACTGGTGCCTAGGAGCCTGTATTCCCTTCCTTACATACTAGGCAGGTCTGGGGAACCTGAGCTGCGGTGCCAGGGGCTCTGAGGGGTTGGTCTTACCTGAAGCATAACCAGGAGGCTGATGGTGAATAGGAGGAAGAAACCCTTCATCTCAAAAGGATCTTGGTAGCAGCTTTTGGAGATAAGCTCGGGGCTGTCTGCTGGCTCCTTAAGGCTTGGCTGTTTTTGAACAAGGGAGGCGGGGTGAATGGGAGAGGAAGGAGGGCCTATGGGGTAGGGTGGGGTGTTGCTTCCTTTTTACAGATCTCAGGGTTGAGGATACGAGGCCCCTACATTCTAGGGCCCAGACTGATGGTGCATTCTGGTTGGGGGCCAACAAAATCCCTACCCCAAGGGACAGTAGGTGGGCAAGACAAGGGGGCAGCTGGGGGGCAGTAAATAGGGACCTGGGCTTGGAGTCATGCCTGCTGGGGACTGGCTTTTGGTTTAATTATCTATCAGTTCTGCAACCCTGGGCCAGACACTATACCTCTCTGAGCCTTTAACAAAAGAGCAGCCAGAGAACTGAGTACAATATAACCCACTTAAGTGTGCCAACACAGTAAATTTTATGTGTGTGCGTGTGCGTGTGTATATATATAACTTTTTTTTTTAAAAAAAAAAAAGAAGATTAGGGTGGGGTTTTTGAAGCTGAAAGAGAAAAGGTTGGGATAGATTTAGGTTTCAAGGTAAGGTTGTATATGGCTGCGCAGGTCCAGAACATTAATATTTGGGTTTAGTGGGGGGGCAGTAGACTTCTGTGGAAACTAAGGGGCACTGCCTTAGTACACAGGGAACCTGGCTTCTAGGTAGGCCCACTTCCTCTGAGCCTCATATTTCTCACTCTAACTGAGAAGAGTAAAGTGAATTATTGCTGAAGTTTCTTAAGTAAGCCCTAGCATTTTGTGATTGGGGTAAAGAAAATAGCAGCTGGGTTGTTTGTGTCAATCTAGGATGGATGGGTTGCAGGGCTGGTGGAGGGACAAGCAGGTGACTAAACTGCTGTGGGAGGTTATTTAGGGTGAGGGATAGCTGTCCCAGGAAGGGATAGGGACAAGGTGAATCATAAAGCTACTCGGGCCATGCTCCATTCTTTATTCTTTGTGTATTTTCTCACTTTATTGTTTCAGTGGGGCTCTGCAGTAGGTCTTTTAACTATTCCCACTTTCCTGCTGAAGAAACTGAGGCTTAGATATTAACTGACTTGTCCAAGATAATACATGGTGGAGGTAGTCTCATTTGAACTTGAACCTGGGTCTGTCTGAAACCACAGTCATGCATGTAGCCTCTGGGGATGCCCTAGAAGTCTTGATTTCCTGTCCCTGTTCTTCCTGGAGGATCCAGGTGTTGACTCCTTGCCCAGCTCCAGCCTCACCCACTCTCCCTTTTCCTAGTCTGCTTTGTGTCTCATTTGCATACCAGAGAGTAAAAGAAAAGTCCCTCTCACTTCCCTTTTATTGTTTTGGGCCTCCTGTTGCAAGCCTCAGAAGAACCTGAGTGGGCCCTAGGGACCTACAGCCCTGGCTAAAAAGAACTGAGAGTCCACTGGTGAGAGGAAGTGAAGAAGTGCAGAGGGAAGGGCCAGGAGCCTTGAGGACCCTGGGAGGGCAATGGAAAGAGCTCTCAATTACCAACCACTGCCCACCCCTGTCAGCTTCTTCCCCAGAAGTCTCTTTCTGACCCAGTGTACTTTTTTTAGCACACTGATGGGGGTGGGTAATTGTGGGGGCTCATAAAAGTTGGGGAGGCAACATGTACTGGAAGGGCACTGGCCCAGGAGACAGGACATGTTGACGTCCAAGATTGCTCTGCTGAAAGCTGGCCCTATCTCACTTAGCAATCTTCTTTCCTCTTAGGAGGAGTCAGCTGGACAGACTAAGCCCTGCCATGTTCGTACCTGTTTCATGTTGCGGATGCATATGAGGATACTTTGTAAAACTTTTTCCACCCCAGAAATTTCATTTTCACATTCTGAGCTTCTGTGGCGTGAGCCTGAGCTGTTAGTGGTGGTGTGGCCTTGTATGTGATGGAAGGGTTTTTAAGGGTCATCAGGACGTGAGGCCTGGAAGTCTGGAGTCCATCAGTATCTGAGAGAAGTGGCGCTTCACACCATTACCTCTCCTGCCCTCTCCTCTGAGCAGTTTTATTCTGTCTTGACAACAACTGGATAGACAGAAACGTGGTCACACAACTCCCATTTTGTAGATTGGAAAACTGAGGGCCAAAGAAGGGCAGATTAATGGCAGACCTGGAGATAGAACCTAGTTATCTCTCGACTTCAGTGTCTTACCGTACACTTTCTCCAAACCTGAATTCTGAACCTTAAGTAGCACGGTGGGAAATCTCAGTCCACAACCCCTGCAACTCTGCTCAGAGATCAAGACCAACCCCTTGAGTGTGATATTCAAAGACCCTTTCTTCCCAAGTTTGGTGTCATGGGTTACATAACATCCCTCCCATACACCCTAGCCTTCAGACACATCCAGCTAGCATCTCCTTAGTTCAGCTTCTCTGGGCTATTTTTTTAAATTTAATTTTTAGACAGAGGGGCAGGGAGGGAGAAAGAGAGGGAGAGAAATGTCAATGTGTGGTTGCCTCTCACAAGCCTCCTACTGGGCACCTGGCCCACAACCCAGGCATGTGCCTTGACTGGGAAGGGGACCAGCAACCCTTTGGTTCACAGGTCAGCACTCAATCTGCTGAGCCACATCAGCCAGGGTTCCTGGTGCTTTTATACTCCATGTATTTTTTCTGCAAGCAAGGCCCTTCTCTAGTTTTTTCTTTAAATCTAGCAAACTCTTATTTGTCCTTTAAGACTTAGCTCAGAAGCCCCTTCCCTGGGAAACTTTCCACTCCCCCCCTAGGAAATTCCTTCAAAGAGAGAGAGTTCCTCAGTATTACAAGAGCCCCTTCTGTTGGTCTGTGCTGTAAAGATTGTGTCAACCTAGAATATGGTCGTGTCCTTTGAGGAGGTACTTGGTCTTCCCATTTCTTTAACCCAGCATAGCACAGAACATCGTCAGAGTATGTGTTAGGGAGAGTTGAACGTGTGCATATAGGGTGACCACTCCCACCTCCAAGCCTTGCATGCCTGTATTCAGTCAGTTAGACATAGTATGGACATTATGAGGCAACATAATGGACTGAGGCAACTTAGTGGACTAAGTATTGGGAGAGTTACTAATGCAGCATTAAATTAAGGGAAGAGATGGGTGAGCCTTTCATTTGGAACTGTTTTACCCCTAAAACTATTTGCCACTTCCAGAAAGGACAGCTGAGAAACTGAGCAGCGCTTTCTACAAATTTATGAGGATAGGAGGAGAAAAACTATATAGTTCAAGATCCCCTAAGAAAGGGAGACTCTGGTAAACTCCCACACTCCCCCACTGGGCTTTGGGTTGGGACCATGAAAGATTGATTACACCTGGGAGTAGCCAAAAAGAAAACAGCCCAGCCCTCACAGAAATGAAAATAGAAACAATAACATAAAAGATCCGGATAATGCAATTACCAAGTAAACTTTCAAGTAACAGTGCTTAGTTTATTCAAAGACATATAAGACAATTTTGAGAACTATAAATTATAGAAAAGAATCAAGTGAAATTTCTAGAACTTAAAAATACATTAATAGAAATTAAGAACTCAGTGGTATGTTTAACACCGGATTGGACACAAATGAAGAGATAGTTAGTGAAGTGGAAGATAGATCCTAAGAAAATATTATAGTGTAATATATGTCTTGAGTGCCTACCATGTGTCAGATACTTCTCTAGGCAGTACGTGACTAGACAGAACAAAAAAGGCAGAGTCCCTGTGCTTACAGAGCTGACATTCAAATGGGGGAAGGTGAATAAAAAAATGGTAATTTCAGATTTCAATAAATGCTATGAAGAAGTCAAGAGGGTAATGTGAGAAAAGAGAAGTGTGAAGAGGACATATTCTAGGTAAATATTAGAGGAAGACCACTCAGTGGAAATGTTTGTGTTGAGACCTGCAGAACAAGAGGGACCTAAGCATGCAAAACACCTCAGCCCACTCCCTGTCCCAGTTTCACAGTGGTTTTTGGTGACTGTCCCCAAGGCCCATCACAGTCTCACATAGGGCAGGTGCTTAATATGTACTTGAACTCAGTGATGGAATGGACTACTGCAAGGATGAAGAGAGAGGAAAGGGGTTGCAGCATATATTACGGGATGATCTGCCCTTCATTTTTCATCCCTACCACTCGAAGGCTGTGATCTGAATGCAATGTAGAGCTCTCCAAGGTAAATTTTCATCCAGCTGTCTGTTCATCCATCCATTTCAGACAATTTATTGTTACCTACTGGCAAGATGAATGAGTGACGGTCCTTTCCCTGAGGAGTTCATAGTCCAGGAGGGAGACACATACTGAAATTATCACAAAACTAAATAAGATGCCCTGGCTGGTGTAGCTCAGTGGATTGAGTGCGGGCCTGCGAACCAGAGGATTGCAGTTTGATTCCCAGTTGGGACATATGCCTGGGTTGTGGGCCAGTCCCCAGAGGGGGACCCATGAGAGGCAACCATGCACTGATGTTCTCTCCCTCTCTCCTTCCCTTCCCCTCTAAAGATAAATACATAAAATCTTTATTAAAAAAAACTAAATAAGAAATACTATAATGGCAGCAGCACTATTAGAATGTAGAATGTAATTCTGCTTGGGGGGAGTGGGAGTATTCATGGGGGACATTTCAAGTAATTCTCAAAGGACTGAGGGGGATTTTCCCAAGGGGAAAAGGCAAAGAAGGATGTCCCCGCTGGAAGGAGAAGCCGGAAACAGGAAGGAGCATAACAGTTTCTGGAACATTGAGAAAGGTGGAGGGCAGAACTCATAATATCAAGGCTTAAAATGTCATGCTAAGTGAGGGGTGGATGCAAGGGGGCAGTGATGTGAGTGGAGAAGAGGAGGAAGGTTGGAGAGCTAGGTGTCGATTCTGAAGAAATGCATGGACTTAGAGGACTTCTCTGTCCTTTATTATTCACTTTTCCCTCCTAAGCTGCTGGGTTCCAATCAATTCTTTAGTCCCAAAGGGTTATAACTGATAAGGATCTTTCAGAAAATGACCTAAAAGCAAAGTAGACTACATCTATTCTCAAGAATAGGGACTTCCAGAGCCGTTTTACTCCAGGGCTGGGGTGTCCTTTGTCATCCTACAGGTGAGAAACAGG